TGACTTTCTGCGTCTTGTTGCACCCAACTTTCGTCCCGGCGTCTCCTGTGGCAATGAACGGAAAACGTAGGATTAAACGCTATAATAGTCCTAAAACCACGCGTAATCTGTACGCATGTGTACGTTCGAGTAGAGCAGGACGTAGACCAAAGAGATGGAGCAACTGTCGCAGCCCCATACCTGTGCAAATCCGTTCTGCAACTTACTAGAGGGTTGATCGCCCGAACTAGAACGCAGGTGTGGACTGTTGCTTCCCCAAACAACGTCTGTCAATCGATGGTCGGAGAAATGCGCCAAGAAAACTTACTTTCCTGGGATCGGCAGATACTGATGCGCATGATAGGGAAGAATAATTGAGACACATTCAACCACTGCTCTCAGGAAGCTGTAATAGTAGTCACTTAAAGCCTTCTTTTCAAAACCCAAATGCTTATTCAAACACATGCACTGAGGAAGACAGCCATAAGGATAACCATTATCACAGCGCAACTGATTGGGTCAACGCAGGACATGACAATTAGCTAATTGTTATCTGAGCAGTAAGCACAGCCCAATCGGCTAGCAGTCCGCCAAATTCATACCTCAAGGGTCACTGAATTGTCAGTCTACAGTCGTCGAGAGATCATAGTAGAGGAGGACTAGTGAGGAAATTATCTCCTAGTGTTTTATGCATAACAACGGGATCGGATCGCAAGTACACTGTAACCTCAGTTAACAAGTAAACTCTGTTCCTGCACCGAGCTTGTCATGTGAAACGGTCGCCTTGCGAAACGTAACCAACCAAACGGCATAAGTTCACTGATTGGCTGCGGGCGACCGAGGACCCACGCCCTGGGAGCAAGACTCAACGGCGGACACAGGCACGCACACGCACGGACAGTTCGTAAACTCAGCGGAAGTTCGTCAATATAAACTAGTCTCCTGCTATAGACTCGTTTGTTATTTTAAATGCTCCTAGATGGGGCTGCTCATCATCCGGGGCTCCACTGTACAGTACACGTATGCGAAACTAGTGGTGACTGCATTGGTATGTCAGATTCTAGGTCGCACAATCTTCGTGACAAATTTTTTACGGACTTCTAAGGAAGGAAGTGTGAGAGGTAATCAGATGACGAGTCGGACTTCCCTCGAATGATATAAATTGCGCGACTGCGGACAGAAAAAGCAAGCACAGTCCAAGCAACGCATTTGTGGAAACTTGATTGTGCCTGAAATTCAAGGTCACACAGTCAATAATAGTACTCGCTTTCACAAACCATAGTGCAGCCAGACAGGTAACTGACTTAATTAGGCTACAAAGTAAACATTTCGTGCAGTCAAAACTGAATTTTACTGCCCAGTAGTTTACAAAGACTGCTAGTCAAGGAGTCTGCGCTGCTGCTTCGGTTTCCATCAGAATCGGAGTTTGTGTTATGCGTTCACAGGGTTAGAAGGGCAGTTAGTACGCACAAGGCAAGCAGCGCCATTGACTTGACACAGTGAAGCACCGTGAGTGCTCACCAGCCAAATCCTGCGAGACGTAGACGGGCGTCGGTGCGTGAAGAAAAGCTACCACTCCAAGATGACAGATTTTCAACGTCTGCCCCCGCATCTCAAAGATTTGGCACTTGTGCGTAAGAAAGTTTCATCATTTCACGTCTCCGCGGTGGCATTAAAACAACCAATGCGTAAAAAAGCAGTTAGTTATCAACCATTTCTCAGGACTACTTTTGTGTCCAGTTGGCAAACACTTTCGCGTGCAGATTCAGCTAGTGGAAGTTACACCACACAAAAGCGTTCAATGTAAATCACGTTTTTATTCACTGGTCGGATGAATAGTGAGAATATTGATGGACTGACTTAGGTGTAGGAAACATATAACAATATTATTTCAAGCAAGCAGTGACCCCGTTATTATTTGAGAGATCTATAATGGTCTAATTAGTGGTTGTACTCGGATCATTACAATCATCAGGCCAAATCTCAGGTTGGAAGTTAAAAGGCAGACGTCACTAGAAGGAGTGTTTTATTGTGTACAGAACTCCCAATGGCTGTCCCAGGCACAGTGACCGCTAGCGAAGCCAGGACTAGTGTTGACTGTGTCCAGCCAGGCCTAAGAGAGTCGACTGTGTGTTGTGTGGGATGATGACAGTTGCCTTTACATGACTGTGAAGCGAGTTCAAGTGATCTGTTATTGATGTGTTGCAATTGCCCGAGTGGATGCTGCCTGCAAAGGCCCCCTGCTGCGTGGCCGCGGCTTGGCGTATTCGAGTGGCACTTAGGCAGGCGTTCTTATTT